TAATCATTAGATATTAAAATATTATAATTTTTCTATAATATTTTATAGCCAATTTATACCTACGCTTTAAGGGATAACCTTTGTTTATTGTTTTCTTCTAAAATTTCCACTGTGTTCACGTCTATTTTTACGTTTACATTTACGACTATGCTTTTGTTTATTTGAAGAATCATTTAATAAATTCGCATTAATTTTATTTGTGAGGTTTGTTAAATTATTATGAGGGAGTTGAAGTTCACATATTATATAATTTAACAATGCGTTGGTAAGGTGAGGATCAATATTGCATTTAAGAACATTAATGATATGTATATTTATTGCTGCAGCAATGAAATATCTAAAAACATCGACACTGTCAGTGTCATTTTCTCACTATTTATCGATGACATAGCCCATAGGAGCTCTGAGATAGTCAAAAATAACAGTATCATCTACAAATGAAGCCAAGTCTTCAATGCTTGGTAAGTTATTGATGGTAATACTAAAAAAATAGTAGTTAATTATAAAATAAAAATAAAAAAGATTCAGCTACAAGATCATTTACCTGTTATTTTTGATGTAATCTTTGGCATAGGCCCTGGATTCTGAAATCAAACGTGACTGGTGATCTGCATTATATGCATTTAATTTTGTTTGAGAAAGGTTATCGTCTTATTAGTATCGCTAAAACCTAAGGCGATTAATTTTACTAACGCATTGATAGCACCTTGCGTAGGATCACGTGACCTCAAAAATAATATCTTTGTTTCATTAATTAGAATCGCTAATATATCTGGTGTTACCTATAAATAAAAAACAAATACAATAAATAAACATAATAATAATTAAAGAACAGTAAATAATAAATTATACATATATAATTTACTGAATTATCATTTTGAACAATCTGATTATTTAAAACCGGTTGAATGTTGCTTGGTAATTCTTCTTGTTCTTTTTGGAGAATTACCAAAGGTTTGTAACATAAAATAAATTTCAGTTTATTGTTTAAAGGTTTGCCAGATTATGGTATATTTGGGTTTGAATCTTTTATAGAATTATTAGTATTTTGATGGGTATCAGAATGATCATCTACAAAGTTATCTATATAATAGTTAACAAAATAGTAATTAATTATTATTTACGCTTATAGATTTTTAAATACCAAAATTTCAAATAATGACTTACCAACATCATCAACACAAGATTTTTTGTTAATAGAATAAGATTCTTCTGTATCATTCGTCATAAAAGAAAATTCTTGTATATCTCGATTATCATCTACACTTCTGGAACCCTTACTGTGAGTTGTGACAGAAGGACTTCGCTTTTGATTATCAATTGCACTCTAATTTCTTACTTAGTTTGTATTTGCAACAGTAGCATTTGTTGTTTGATTTGCAGATTGATGAGTAATAACAATTGAAACATCAGATGAATATTGATCACGAATAATAAATTGATCTCGATTATGAATTTTAATAGGAGAACCTCGATCACTAGTTTTATCGGAAGAGTAAGTATCATCTTGATCATAATCGTCATTCTCGTACTTATCATCATTATATTATTTCATAGATCTTGTGGAATGACGACTATCTCGAGAATGAACGCTACCTCTAGTGTTTACAGACCACCCACCTCTAGAACTTGTAGACTGACCACCTCTAGAATGTCCATTTACTCTCCCACAAGGTATAATTAATAAATTATATTGTTTTTTAAGAAAATTTATTTAAGGAAAAAAGAAATCTTAAGAAAACTTATTTAAGGAAAAAAAAAAGAAATTCAGAAAATTTCCATTAAATAACTTCACATCATTACAAATGTTCAATTAAATTCAACAATTAATTAATTAAATATTGTGATGATATCAGTGATTATAGGATAAAGTTTGTCTGATTGGCTAATGTAGATCAATTCAATTTATATGTTATATAGTACTTTTGGAAAATAAGGTTTTATATAATAAAAGAATAAAATTAAATTTATATATTACTTCATTGAGGTGTTAAAATACTATCTTTAAAATAAATCTCTTATAATCTTATATTTAAGAGATATTAGCTTAATAACGACATTTCATAAATGGGTAAAGAAAAGAGACTCAAAGGACCATGTGCCATAGAAATTTGCAAAAGAAAATCTTTAACATGAAAAACTGTTACTAGTCTAGTTCTATCTAAGGGAACGAATAACAAAACTCTTCCTAAGTATATTAAAGAAAATGATATTATATGTTTAGATTATTATAATGCAATTGTTATAAATGTGTCTTCTGAATTTCAGCAACATGCGTTGAATCAGCATTGTCATAGTGAACCAGAAACTTCTAATAATATTTTATTTTTTTCACAAACTATAGGTATACTTACAGATATTCTTTATGAAAGAGAACGTAAAGAATTACCACTAATTTGGATATTTAAAGAATTTCATGCAGTTATAGAATCAGAAGATAAACGGTTGAAAACTTTCTTTGATGAATTATATTTATCAACTAACCCATCAAGAAAAAACAAAAATACAATAGAAAAGGTATCAAAGCAACTGGTATTTTTGTATTATTTTATTTGTAGTATTAGAAACAAGTTTGTTAATAATGCAAAAAGAGATCTAGGAATGTATTTAGATTCTACTGGAACACCAAATTCAACAATAGACACTATGGCAACGTTAGGCCTAACAATAACATCTTGTTCAATTTCTTACCACAAGGATACCATGTCCGAAAAACATCTGACAACTGTGGAATCAAGTCTTACAGATAGTACAAATGATGCAATCATTTTAAATATCGACGATTATCATAGTATTCACACTAAAAGAATGCTTAACACAACCATGATATTAACTGCAGTACATTTTGCCACTATTCTACTTAATCCAATTAAAAATGAACCAGCAATATCAAAACAATATATTTATAACCCTGTATTAGTTGATACTTCATTAATTAAAATTGGAATTGAAAATTATTTTATGTCAACATATTCAATTTCTCATAATCAACGCTGAGGATTTCATTTTGTGGATGATAAAATAAAGCTCGAAGAGTTAACAGTTCATAGCTATGATATTTGTTTAAAAGAAAAAAGAAGCACTAGATCAATAAAAGATACTGTACTTGTGGATCTTGTGGAAAATAATCTTTATTCGATAGAAGCTTATATTAATGCTATTAATATTTTTACTTCTATTCCAACAATAAATAGATATATTAAAGAAGGCAATGTCATTCTGGTTGTCGCTGATTGGTCCGGTCAAATATTTTTAAGAATTGCTATATCACAGTATCTTGTTTATGGTAACTCATCTGGAATCACTAACAATATTTTATCATTTCTTCTAATGATAGGTCCTCTGCATATCTCACTGAATAATCATGAGTTAATATTTCTCCAGTATCAACCATTTTTCTCAGTAATATATAAATATATATTTGGTGAAAAAAAATACTCGCTCAAAAGCCAAAGCTGTGGCATATAAATTTGCTACTAGAACTCTTACGTAGTGCATGGCAACAAATTGCAATGATAGTTGAATTAAAATTTGGTCATGTGTGTAAAGATGCAGAATATATAACACTTAAGGATCTACTAGATAACACAATTCCTCTGGTTCTTGATATTTATGCTCTGTTTTTTTGTGCTGGCGATTATAACTCTTATATTGAATCTTATTTTTGCATTTGGTCTATTATTTTAAATTCAACTGTAAAAATTATACTAAAGCGCCTTTGATATTTCTTTCAGATATTTTTACTGGCAATCTCAATTTTAAAAACGATGAATGCTGAATTACCAAAATTCTCTGATATGCCTGTGGAAATCTTTCACAGTATTTTATGATGCAATACAAAAAAGCATCTTACGGCAGACCAAATAATAAAAGAAGCACAATATATCAACTATTTACGATTTAACGATGATGGCTTTAAGGAAAATTTTATTCATATTTCAACTTGAACAGTGTATCAGTATTCTTCTCAGAATATTGTAACTTTGACACAAAAAACAACATGCTTTCTTTTAGACTGTTTCTCAGATATTTATACTCGTATTTATCATAAGAAAATTCAATTTTTAATTCTATCACAGGTTGCTATAAATCGTCCACTGAAAAAGAGTAAGAAAGCCAATGCTGAAAATAGCTTTCCTATTCTGGTAATGAAGATAAAGAAAGCATAGCTTTATCATCTACCTATAGGATATAGTTCTTCATATAAACCTAGTTTGTCTGGTTGCGATTCTTCTAATTGTTCTATTACTAATATTACAATTACTATAGAAATAGGACAGGTATTACCTTGTGGCCATGCGTATCATAACATATGCTTTAGCTGTGATGGATCCAAATGCTTGCATTATTTAAATTACATTAAGGATGGTGTTGACAAACATGTTCAATCACTATTAGATAGTCTATGCTGACTTAAATCAAATAACAATATTGAAAGTGAAGAGCCTGATTCTAATTCTAAAGATGATTATGATGATACTAAGGAATTAGCCGATGGCATTTCAGCTCCTTAGAATAATACCATATTACGATTTCTTCTACTATAGTTATAATAATCATTTACAATTAGAAGAATCATGTTATTTTTTTTTCATATGTAAAAAAAAGATTTATTAAAATAAAAAAATTTTTTTGAGCACAAAATCTATTTTTCTTTATTTGAATCAATAAAATAAACTCAGTTGGCTAGGTAAAACTATATTAAATTTGACTTTAATATAATCTCAATATGACCTCAATATAATTTCAATATAACTTCAATATACTCAATATACTTAATATAATCTCAAATCTTATCACATGATAATCATGTGACTTAAAATCAGCCAATCAAATTTTACAAAATCTTAAAATGACCTACATAAAATTAGCCAATCAGACGAATTTCTTTCTATGATATCAGTAATGATTACTAATTAGTAATTACATTAACAAAGTATATCAGACAGAGACTTTTTTAATTAATACTAATTTGATTAACTTTGATTTTTTTCTTAAAAACAAAAAATTCTTCTTTAATTTTTTTCTTAAAAACTAAAAAATCAATGATGCCAAAAAAGGCTACTTTCGACTATATATATCCTACCCTTCATAATCCAATTAATGCACAAAAAAAGCAAAAGATCTTGTTACGAGAAAGATCTTTTTCATCCATATCAAATATAAAATCTTTAGGGACCATTGTAACTCCAAATATTTCTAACCACATTGGTTTTATTAATCAAGATACGACTCTAAAATACATTCACAATATCTTTAGTACTTCAGATAATAATAGAAACGACTTTGTTAAAATGTTAGAAACAGAAGATACAATAGATAATCTGCAAAATTTTAACTTTAATGATGATTTTTCTTTTTCACTATTAAGACCGACTTCATCGGCTATTTCTATGTTTGATAGCGATAATGATGAAGAACAGTTCCTTGATAGCGATAAAGATGAATATAATGATGATTTCACGTAAAATATAGATAATAGAAAAAAATATGATATTAATACTGAATTACCAAGGTATACAGGTGATAGCGATCCTTATTTTCCAAGTCTTACAACAATGTGAATATTTATATGGTTTACAAAAAATAATATAGGTAATATTCGATATTCTAGGCGTTAAGTATTCAACTAACAATTTACAAGAAATTTAAATTTTTTAGGTACTAATGCTTATCAAGATCTTGTTAAAATTATACGTTATTCAGAATTTAAAGCAGATCAGATTTCTTATAGTGTAATGACTATTAAGAAGATTCGCAAGGGGTTGCCTTTACTGCCAATTATGAGAAAATTTGTTCCAATTAATTTGAAAGATACTTCATCAAAAACTTTACCATTAAAAGAAGCGTATACCTTTTCAATTAAGAATCATATCCATTGTATAATTAATAACCTAATGTTAATGCCAAAAATGTATTTTTGACCCAGCGTTGAGAAAGAAAAAAATATTAAAATATGGCATAGAGATTTATGAAAAGAATCTCTGTTGTTTGGTGAAATAATGATTACAATAAAAAATGGTTAATAAATTAATTGACTTTATTGTAAAAGTAAAATTTAATAATAACACAAAAATTTAATTATTGAATTAAAGTCACATTTAGTTCGAATGATTGAATACTATATAAGAAATCACAAGATCAAAATTGTTACGTAGGTAGGATCACTGGGGTTGTAATAATGAATAAAATGTCATCTGAACACTAGCTTCGTATACAACCCACAAGAAATTTTGGTGAACTACCCAGTAATGTTAAAAGTAAAGAGCAAAACTAAAGATCAAAGAATGATAGCGAATTATAGTTAGAGAAAACAAGAATTATAATTAAAACCCAAGATGTAATTCGTCATATTAACGTTTAGATCAAAGATGGTGACACTCCACATTCACTAGCCTTTGACTTTTCGATTTAAAGATCATATATACACTTAATGGTCATCAAAAACTCAGACAAGTTTCTCTTCAATGCAAATTACCTGTAGAGTATGTTAATGTACCACAATTACCTCCAGATCCAAATATGAAACATCTCAAGTTTTTTATAAACTTGTATTATGATGATTTTGGTACTTTTAATAGGCATATCACAAATTAGGGGGAATTTATATACAAATTGACAACATGAAACGTGAATTACGAAAAAAATTGAGAAATCATTTTCTTATTTCATTTGTGCCATTTGGAGGAGAATTTAATGATGTATTAGAAGAATTTATTTCAGATATGAAAGTGTAGCAAAGTGAGGTTCTTATGACAACTAGAAATAAATAAGTGTGGGTATTAGCAGGACTTGAAATGGTTACAGCGGACCTCTCGCAAGGGAACGATATGGCTAGCATAAAAAGACATAATGCAGAATATAGATATCGCACTTGTAAGGTCCCCCAAAGCTGATTGTCTGACATTGATTTTGACATATTTCAAAATAGCCATTACCATTATTTGACAAATAAGATTTTTGATGAAATTAAAGCTTCACAGAATATTACAACAAGGAAACGCATAGCGCAAGAATACAGTATATGCCTAATTCCAAATATTTTAAATGATCTTTTTTGTGATTGTTATTTGCAAACGCTTCAAGATCCTTTCCATTGTCTAGTGGGATTAGCTCGTCGATTTTTTGATCATTTGTTTAAATGTGAATTAGAAAAATCTGGGCTTGATGCATTTCATAATGAATGGAAATCTTTTGAAATACCAAATAGTTAGAAGCGTCTCCAAAGCTCTATTACCCATTTTGAATCTTACTGAATGAGCGATTCACTAAGACTGGTTATGATTATGCCTTTTATTTTATCACGATGTTTAATCCCTGCACATTTTAAACAAGGTTTTGTTAAATCTATTAAAAATGAGTATTTATTAGTAAATATAGAACAGGTGAAAGCTGTAATAGTCGAAGTTTAGAGTTTATTTCTAAATTCTATGCAAAGGTATTTGCTAATGAATTCTGTAGATCTGATGGTCAGAATCAACAAACATTGCTCTTTAAACTTCAATTTCGATATTAATTGTAAGATTATATTTTTAGTAATTGAGCTGCCTCAAGAATGTTTTTTTAATATTCATATATATAAGAAATGGAATACCAGAAGAATTGAAAAGGAAGGTTTTGTAAAAAAGCTTAGCAATGGTACTCATATGCAGAGATGCTTATATAAAGCTTA